ATTGGTGCATTTCTGAAGACAGACCAATCAGAATAGAGTATTTCCATCCAGCAAACAATCCAGCACGAAAACAAGCATCGTGTGTCGTTGGCTTAAAATAGGTTTGTCGCGTCGCATGTTCCAACGTGCTCCTATTCGTCCCAACGCACTCTGATTGGTCTGCGTGGTGAAGTAAACCAATCAGAGTGCGTTGGAGCGAATAGGAGTACGTTGGGGCATGCGACGTGAACAAACCTAATGGCTGCGTTCAGCAGAGAAAGCTCCTTTGCAACTGTTGTAAAATTCGTGAATCTGATTGGTACATGTTCTTGGATTTAACCAAAATTAAGAGCATACTCCAATCAGATTCACGAATTTTACAACAGTTGCAAAGCAGCTTTCTCTGCTGAACGAAGACAATGGGCGCATTCAGTAGAAAAAGCGCTCAGTGAGCAATCAACGATTATTGGTTCTTGCTATTAGATCCCTAAATCTAGACCAATTACATTGACAAATTACTCAACTGTTGTGCAACTGTTGAGTCTGCTGAATGCAGCCAATGTTGCCATCGTATGGTTGCTTTCCAACAAGAGACACAAGTCGACAAAAGTATCATCCTATCTTTGGGTGCTTTCTAGTTGCGTACACTGTGTTACACAAAACCAATTTATTGGTTGCATATTATCTTACCAGATATTTTAGATAATATGTGACCAATAAACTGGTTTTGTGTACGTGTGTGTCAAGATGTGTTAAGCAATTGGAAAGCACCCATTGTTACTCACTAAATGTGGAACAAAGATAGAATGATGTTTGTGTCGACTTGTGTCTCTTGTTGGAAAGCAACCTATGTTACTTGTGGAGGGAACTTTAGATGTTGTACATTCCTATTCTTCGGTAAAGCCTTTGATCTGTTCTTTTTAGCTGCACTGCTGAACTAGTGCAATAAAGCCAGCGGCATACGATGTTTGTTTTCATACTGGATTGCTTGCTGGATGAAATACTCTATTCTGATTGGTCCGTCTTCAGAAAAGCACCTAATGGGTGCTTTCCAATTGCTTAACCCATCTTGACACACACGTACACAAACCAGTTTATTGATCATATTATCTAAAATATCTTGTAAGATAATATGCAACCAATAAGCTGGTTTTGTGTAACACAGTGTACGCAACTGGAAAGCACCCAAAGTAATATGGTTGATGCTGCCTGCTTAAATATTTGTGTACGTACAGAGTGAAAAACGTCAGAGTGAAATACGTTACAGTAAAAAAATTTGTAAAAATAAGTGATTGATCAATTGTATATCTATGGCCGGTATTCATAGTTGAATCTTATTTCAAGACCATCTTAAATAATGTCTTAAGATGCGAATACGGTTCTGTGATTGGTTCATGACATCTTAAGACAGTACTTAAGATGCTCTTAAATATAAGATCGGACTATGAATACCGGCCTATATATCAGGTACAATAATACATAAAACGAGATGCTACATTGTGAATGTCGGAACACCAAATAAGCGCATGCGCGAGATTTCTGTACATACTTTTCGAAGCCATGTACTGAGGCTGCGTTCCGAAATTCACTGCCAATGCTGAAATTCTATAATATACGTGACATAAACTATAGAATTTCAGTACTGGCAGTGAATTTCGGAACGCAGCCTGAGTTGAAGTTAAGGTTTTCACACACAAATTGACATAACAGTAACGTAAGATGTACCGTAAGAATTGACCAATCATGTTGAGAATCGTTGGACCGTAAGGTCGCCATTTTGATGAATACTCGATTGTAATTGGTCAATTCTTACGATACGTCTTGCGTTAGAGCTATCGCACACAAATTGACATAACTGCATATGCATAGCATAAGACCGTATGTACCAATGAGCATCGAGTATTAAGTCGCCATATTGGTGTTCGATGCTTAATATTCGATGCTCATTGGTCCATACGATCTTATGCTATGCATATGCAGTTATGTCAATTTGTGTGTGAAGGCCCTTAGCAGTCTAGTAGTATATAGAAGTCTGTGGTTCAAATTCCCTACCCGGGTGTATTCTATTACTAGAAACACTATATGATATGTATATGTATATGTATAGTATATGTATATGTTATATATACTATAGCACTTCTAGTATTAGAGTGCACTCGGGTAGGAAATCTGAACGCAATCTAGCATCGTGGACACAAGACTTATGCAGAATTCACACCGCGTCCGATGTCCGACGTACGACGTCCGATATCCAATAAAAAAATAGCTTTCCAATGGAGAATTGAATTCTATATTAGAAAGCTGTTCTCCTATTGGATATCGAACGTCGGACATCGGACGCGATGTGAATTTTGCATAAAGACCAATAATCGTTGATTGCTCATTGAGCGCTTTTTCCGCTGAACGCGCCCATTGCTTGTTGGATGGAAATACTCTATTCTAATTGATGCATTTCTGAAGATAAATGAAAATGCATCAATCAAAACAGAGTATTTCCATCCAGTAAGCAATGCAGTACGAAAACGGGTGTATATCAGTTGGACACGGGGCAATTGGACACAGTCCAATCACAAGTCGCTGTTCCAAGGGACCCTACAAATGTCTCTAATCACACGGTGCTGTGATTGGCTGTGTCCAAATGCACCGTGTCCAAGTGCACCGCTTCCTACGAAAACAAGCATCGTGTGCTTGTTTTCACTGGCTTAACTTATTGTACTAGTTCAACAATGCAGCTAAAAAGAACATTCAGTTGCGTTTTTTTAGTGATACGGCTTTGTATTCGGTGTAGTGCAATTGATGATATAATTAGCTTTAGTAGCCTATTAAATACAGATATAATATAGAGCTTAGAATGTATAAATATATGCTATGAATCGCTCTTGAAGTGATCCAAACTTATGTCACTCGAAAACGCTATTAAATTCGAGCTCCTGAAGTGTTACACTAATTGTACTTTGCTTCTGCTCGCGCCGCGTGCATCGACGGATATAGGTGCGTTCCCACTTAGCGCGTCGCATCGCTTTTCGCGGACCAATCAAATCGTCCCATTTTATTCGTCGTAAAGTTAGGCAATAAAATGGGACGATTTGATTGGTCCGCGATATACGACGCGCGCGTGACGTGCTAAGTGGGAACGCACCCGTATTGCGACCTCTGATCGGATGCTACAAAGAAGCGAAAAAACCAATGCAAAATTAATAAATTTATTTTTAACAGTAATCATAATCATGTGAGCGCGTTATTTACCGAATAATTTCGAGTAATAGTTATGAAACGACTCATATATCTTGGAATTTCCGGCGTCGTTATACTTCGTCTGGATGCCGCTGGCACCGTGCGCGGATTGGCTCCGATTTAACGGATATTACGACGCATGTTCTAAGAACGAATCAACATACGGATCGTATATCGCGGGCTATATACTGGAATCGGAAATTATCGTTGCTTTCCTTTCTTGTGTGGCAAGCCGGCACGACATACGTACACATTGGTCTCCATAAGCCACAGCTATCGGCGAGGGAGCCAGCAGCTCCGGAATTTATCTCGAAGTAAACTGGACAAATTGCAGAGCGTTTCTTTGTTAATTGATCCTACGACGATCTCCAATTAGAGTAGAAGACCACTCGCTGAACCGTTTGCGGTTGGTGCCTACACACTAGTTCAGTAGACACGGAACGTTAATACGGCGAAAGCGCGGACACGATGGCGGCGGTAGAGGGTTATCAAAATCAAGCGCAATGCGAGACACAGTCGAATCATCAGGAGCAATCTTCGAGTCAAGGCCAAATGGATCAGCAAGATCAGCAAGGCTCGCAAGGAAATCAGCAGATGCATTCCCATCAACAGCATCAGGACCATGTTTTACAGCAACAGTCTTCACACCCACAAGCAACCGCCGGTATTCCTGGCAAGGACGACGAACGCAAACTCTTCGTCGGTGGACTTTCTCGCAATACTACAGATAAGGAGTTGCGTGATCATTTCAGCAAATTTGGTGAAATCGAGAGTATTACCGTAAAGATCGATCCGCACACCGGCATTTCACGTGGTTTCGCCTTCATGGTGTTCACCAATGCCAAGGCTATCGACAAGCTACTTGCATCTGGGGAGCATTACATTAACAAACGTAAAGTAAGTTATGTTGGCAGTTCTTAAGAAGTCTATAAAATTTTTCTTTACCTTTTATTTTTTATTTACTTTTAAGTACACGTAGATGCATTCTGCAGTACTTACAACAAAGAGAAAAAAAGAAGAGAAACAAATCTGCTCTTTTTAACTGTATTTTTTATATTTTCTTATAATTTTTCTTTTTGTCTCCTTATTCCGCAAAGTTTTGAATATCTTAATATATATTATTAATGTGCATGTGCACATAGGTATATGTACTTATAACGTATAAGAACGATACTAGCAGTGTACTAACAAAGAGATTTAACAGTTGCGTTTTATTTAATAGAGCGGCTCTGCTAGTATTATATGTAATGTTTTCATATATATATTGTATATAATATGTGTATATAATAGAATAATTATATAACATTGTTTTATGATTATATAGGTGGACCCGAAACGAGTCAGTAAGAAACCCCAGCATGGTAAAATCTTCGTAGGTGGTCTCACTCCTGAAATCACGGATGACGACATCAAAACGTATTTTGGACAGTATGGCAACATCGTCGAGTTGCAAGCACCTTTTGACAAAGTCAAAAATCAACGAAAAGGCTTCTGCTTCATCACATTTGACTCGAAGGAAGTCGTTTACAAATTACTGAAGACACCTAAGCAAACAATAAATGGTAAGGAGGTTGATGTGAAAAAGGTAAAAGTCAATCCGGATCCAAGAAACCAGGGCTTCTGGGCACCTGGTTACGGTGGATATGGTTATGGTGGTGGATACGGATATATTCCTGATTACAACGGTTACCATGGCGGATATGAAGACATGTATGCGAATTACGATTACGCTGGGTATGACGGCTATGATAATATGGGATACGCGCAGCCTAAGCCACGAGGTAATGGTCCAGGACCTCGTCAGTTTCAGAGACATCAACCGTACTAAGCGTAAAGAGGTATATTGAATCCTATGCACTTCATACCCGGTGATAAGATTTAACACGTCTAGAAAGAGTTAGACTAATTGCGTCTATAGCTGATATTCAGTCTGAGACTGGGTTCGTTTTTGAGGTCGTTTCGGGGGTTGCAGGGAATGTCATGAACGTAAAAAAAAAAGAACAGCTTATCAACCAAGCTCAGTATATCGTGCATATAATAGATAAGGAGGAACCAAAAAAATTTATCCTGGAAAATATGCTTAGTATGCGTTTATAAAGCAGAAATTGGTCTGCACCATAGTTGATTCATGAACAACATTAAAAAACCAGTCGCTCGTTATCATGTCTTTTTCTCTGCAATTGTATTACTAGAATGGCTATGATTTTGGCACTGCACAACAGAATTTTAAGAGCGAAAGAATAAGAAATTGAGGGTAAAGAAAGATGAAGCGCGAATATACTTTGTATTTTCGACTGTGTGAGGATATATACATATATATATATATATAAGATATACTTAGTATTTTCTTCCACAGCAAGAGGGTAAAGAATATACTTGGTGTTTTCTTCCATAATAACAGAGCTAACGACATGATATTTCATACAGAGCTTTTATCCAATTTAATGGAGTGATTTGTTGTTGCTGTATGAAATGAAGCAGAATTTGTATAATTGTGAAACTGTAACCAATCTTACTTCCTGTTATGGAAAAGTTTTGGTGTCGAGTAGAAGGAGACGCACGTCACACATTTGTATTTGTATCTCGTTATTCATGAGTAATTGACTAACACATTTGTAGGTAATAATTTAATACTCCTACTTTTCTTTAGAAATTTAAGTTTATCCCTCATTATTCAAGTTTGCTTAGCTTTTTTTTGCGTAGTGTTATTACTTTATGCGAATAATAAAATTCATGGTGTATAGTTGCAAACCATTGATAAAACAAAAAATTGCCTTATTTACATACCTTTTTTTGACCTCTGCATGTTATAATTAAATAATAGATTTACAAAAATAAGAAAACACTCAACGACCAAGAGATCTATTTCTACATAAAAATATTTCTTCCTCATAAAATTGTATCTTATAACTATACAGCTTATTATAATGGGTAATACATTTTACTAGCTACTAAGTCTTGTAACTTATCTTCAGATTGTAAGTAATGAAATGTACATATATGTTATATGTATGTATGTATATACGGAATGTTCACATACGTACATATGTACATGTATGTGTATATGTCTATGACTACTACGGATTTATAAAATTAGAGTTTAGATGATAAATGCAAAAAAAAAGAAAAATATAAAAAAGAATATAATTAAAATATGAACGTCCTGGGTAAATACATAAAGTGCACGCAAACGACTCAACTTTCTCGAGGAGATAGTTCGATAGATTAAAACATACATTTGCGGCAGTAATACGCAAATGTTAGAAACGCTGATCAGTGTTCTCTATCGTATAGTACGTTTCAAGCTATCGAAGCTATTACGTTCCTCTTTGCGACTGCATCACCTATGGTCAATGAATCAATCATCAAAGACTCTTAGCTGCCATTTGATGAAACAGCGTATCTGTAGTCACGACAAAGAAAAGAAAAGAAATGAAGGTGTAACCGTAATTACTTACATAATATTTACGCAGCATCATACCGTACTATCATTGTCTTGAATGTGTCATAGTAAAAACCTATTGTCATAGTTAATTATCCGGCAATTAATTCGTCTATAAGATCTATCTCGAGACAGAATTCGATCACTCGCGTGTCGTCTGTGTGCTCAGTCAGTTTGTATAAAAAGAAAAGGAATAAAAGAACGAAGATACGAATACGACGCAAGTAGATGAAATAGATAAACATATGTTATATATTGAGAATGATGAATGGAAATTAACAAACATTTTCTCGAGCTATCGGCGATTATCAGAATGTTTAAGGCGGCGACCAGAGTTGACGAATATAATCTAAGCTACATTAACACTTCCTTTCGCATTTCTGTTTGGTAGCAGTTCCTGTTCATCGTACCAAGACTGCTGTTTATATCGCGAAAAGACTGTTATCAAGCGATGATACAGGCTCTAGAGAATTTGACAATTAATGAAACTTGTGGTTTCGACTTGCGAAATTATGAGAACATAGAAAAATGGATAATGTAATAATAGAAAATGTAGATATGACACAATGGGACTACATTTAGATACATCGAAATTATATACACAAGGCTGAAAAAGCTTTAAACATTCAAAAGGAAAAAGGTTTTCTCAGACGTCATAAAGGCATCGACAGTTTGGCTTAAATGAGAGTTAGTTAACAACGTGAAGTATCTTCTTGAGAATATCACGTCAAGTATCTCATCTTGAGAATAAGTTTTTAAGCCAAGCTAATAATGTCTTTGAAATTAAATCTGTATACTGTGTATACCATATTTGCTGCGTGTGAAAATATATATTGAAACAAGAGAGAGAGAGAGAGAGAGAGAGAGAGAGAGAGAGAGAGAGAGAAAGAGAGAACAGAGCGTGAAAAATTAAAGGAAATGATACAGATATTTTGTTACTATTAATTACTATTCGCCTGTTTCACCCATGACACAGTGTATATTTTAATTATAGCAAAAATAAATAATCATTATTTCAAATGTTTTTTTAATACTATATTTTTAGATACATTAAATTAGATACATTTTTAGATACATTAAATTTGTGCAAAAGGTTTGTTTTCTTTATGAAGTTATGTTTTAAATTAGATCGTGAGCTTGAAATATTTTATATAAAGAGGGAACTAATGATTGACAAAAGTTACTTTTTAAAACTACTCTTTTTTTTCAATTTCAATCAATAAATACCACAAATCTTTTGCACTAATGTAATCTAAAAAAATTATATGATGAAATATGTGTGCATATATTAGTATCACTTAATTCTAAAAAGCAATTTTTTATTCTTGCAATTGTATGTGGAGAATACTTTTTTATATATTTATTTTTTTTTATCAGCAGCATGAAGTCCTATTGTATTTGATGATATTGTTCTTATTAACAGTCATTATTTGAAACTTGTCCCATATGAGAAATCACTCAGATCAGAATTTAGAGTTAAATTTGAGTTGTTTTATTTTAAATCACACATATATATGACATTATTTTTGTAATCTAGCTGTTCAGTTGAAAAATTCACATCTAACTCAATTTAAATCTGAGTATCTTAATCTAAAGCAAGTTTTAACGATTGTTAATACAGATTTTAGTTTCGCTATGGAGTCTCCAGTCGAATTTTATCATGGACAAAATTGCTACAGCGAATTCACGTTATCACGCAAGTATATCTTGCTGCAACAAAGAATGCTCTACGAAAAACGAACAACAAGCATGTGTAAAAAAAGAAAATCCTTAGGGAGAATTCACACCTTGGCAGGTAAGCAGAAAACAGGCAGAGACCAATCAGAATTCACGTTGATGGTTAGGTGATAGGGCGAGTTTTTTAATTCATCGATGGATCCATCGATGAACTAAAAAACTCGACCATAGTAAAAAGTTTCCACTTTTCTATCAGCGCGAGTTCTGATTGGTTTTTGCCTTTCTGTTTTCTACTAAAGTGTGAATTCTCCCTTAGATCTATTATACATTAATAACTTTACATACATTATAAAAAGCACAAGTAGCGCGATAAAAAGAAAATAAGAATATACCGCATGTGCAAAATCACTTGCACGGATTCAATATGTGTTTGGTTAAAGATCAGTTGCTCAGTTGGTGTGCTCGATGTCTTTATAAGTCGTGACAAAAGATTTTTGAAATTTGCATAAATCGCGCGGAACGCGGTCAGGTGTCACGTGTAACCACGAGCTGTCACGTTGTCGGCGACATGCGCACGAAGCTGCGTAAGGTACCTGTCCCGCCATCTAGTGACGTCGCTTGTCATGCTCAATGCGGCATGCATTTCGGATGCTTCGGTAGTTGCTCGGGTGGGTGACTCGGTATCGTGTGTATATCGTCGCACCTGCCAACGATTGTGCTTGTGTCACGGCTTAGCTTTCTTCCGTTTCGCACAGAAATACACCGAGCGAGACGACGCCTTCGCAGTCGATGCGCATTCGGCGAAAGGGAGCGAGTGCAACGGACGGAAGAAAGAGCGAACAAACGGACGGACAGAGGGAATAATAGTAGACGCGGAGAAAGAGAGAGAGAGGAAAAAAGAGGAAGAGCGAGTGACGGCGAACAAGCAAGAGAGCGAGCAAACGCGCGTGCGGTGCTATGCCTCACCCGAGATCGGCACGGGTGTCGTGCGGTCAGTCATGCTGGTCCGACGGCCGTGGAGACTCGTGATGTAGCCCAACACACCTAGCCTAACATTAGCTTGGCAAAAGAACGCTTTCATATCGCTGCGGTTGTTGCCGATGTTGATCGTCGTATCAAACTGGCCAACATCGATGCGTCGCGGAACAACGCTCACGGATCTTGACCGCGTCGATTCACCTGCATCTACGGGTTCCTCGTCACCGTCGTCGTCGTCGTCGTCGTCGTCGTCGTCGTCGACGACCGAATTTCTACCGCTGTCACCGTCTATCACAAGTGCCTTCTGCCGTCGATCGCTCGGCCGTGCTCCTCGAGCCTCATGATTGCATGGAAAACGCAGAGAACGACCGCCGTGTGCCACCGTCTCACCTAGTCCTGGCGAGTACGGCGATCTTGCGACCGATACGCACCTTTGTCTAATCCCGCTGTACGTCTCGGTAAGCTCCACGAGAGCTCGATAAGAGTATACCTTTGTCATGAGAGCGCGATATTTGGCTTAATAATTGTCATCGAAATTAATTATATATCACGCTCGGGAAATCATTTTTATCGAAGTGTGCGTGTACGTCATATATGTTTAATGTCTTATTTCAAGCTTGTGAAGACGAAAAGTTTGTGAAATCGTGGTTTAGATAACAATTTAATATCGTGTTGGATTGTTAATGAGAGTATAATTCGCTACTTGTCATCGCATTTGCGGTAACGCTTCCAAAATTTCTCAGTGCATTTCCAAAAATGGCTCGTTAGCTCACGCCGATGTTGATAAGATACCGAAACACGGAAGCTTCTGTGGCATCACCACCACCATCACTACTACTATTATCACTAACTACATCGATGAGGCGGCGCGTGTGAATAGCACGAGCACAAACATACAATCGCACAGAATCTCGCACATATGTAGCGTAGCGTGCGCGTTGGTGGATTTATCGCAGATGCATCGAGTAAATAAGCACGCGTATATTACGAGCCGGGCGGCTGGCTTTGCGTTGCATAATACTCGAGATACGTCGTCGTCGTCGTTGCGGACTCGTGGCAGTCTACGTGCGTCGTACGTTCGACGTGGTGGATCGCGACGAGTCGGCGATTTCGGTCACGCTAAGCTTCGTTTTCCGGGGCGATTGCGGTGTTATCCGCGCGCGAACGCCGTTGCACCAATTGAAATTCCGTGTCGGTCAGCATAATGACAGCTGATATTCGATGCATTCCTGTCGCTTTGCTCACTTGACTCGTGCGAATTTTAATTGTCGATAACAGATCAATCCAGCAATGATAACAGATCGATTAGCAAAGTCCCGTGAATCCTCGAATATTGCGCGATTGCTCGAGAATTAAACGAGATTTCGATCGATATGATCTGCTTATTCATATTAAATTGTAAATTTATTAGAATGATGAGTTGGGGAAAAATCGTAGGATTACCTGGAACCAATATTGAGAAAGAAAGAGAAATTGTAAATTTGATAATATTTGATATCGTTGAAATGTAAGAGACAGAAAGCTGGTCTTTGGAGCAGCATGTTTTAGCTGTAACGAACAGGAAGTAAATATTAATTTACGGCGATTTTACAGAAACCATGAATCGGCTAACTGCAAGAGGAATACATCGTAGCTGCTAATTGACGGTGCGACAAAAGAAAACTTGTGGTCAAAGTAGTCAAAGTATCAGTATTCGGTACATAACCTAGGAAAGATGTCCCAGCTAAACATAAACACAGGCAAGCGTGGACGTGGAGGAGTCGCGAGTACTTCTGCGTCGGCGGTGTCCGCGCTGAGCAGCTCCACCGATCTGGCGAGCCTGTTTGAGTGCCCGGTTTGTTTCGATTATGTGCTTCCACCCATCTTACAATGCCAGAGCGGGCATCTTGTGTGCACAAATTGTCGACCAAAGCTTTCCTGCTGCCCTACTTGCAGAGGTCCACTGGGTACGTATATTATAGCCAGGATTGATATTTACACGTAAATTACGATAGTCTATGTCTAAATCTACTTATGATACTCTACATACTTTTGATTCACTACAAGTAATTTATGGATCTTTTAAAGAATGCAAGACTTGCTCAAAAGTTAATGAGAAAAGACTTTTATTCAACCTTTAGAACTTTGATATGTAAATTTGTAAATGTTATTTCTAAAACAAGTTAAGTATATCAATCTATCATATAGTAAAATAAAAAATTCATATAATTTATCTGTTTTAAATATTATATTATATTTAATATCTAAGACTGATATGGCAACTGTTTTAGAATTTAATAATCCTTTTTGTATTTTATTATAATTTATGATATTCTATATAATCATACATTCTCTATGTGAGAAAAATTGTAGACAATATGTAAAGAATATGTAAATCTGTGTACATGTAATTTTGGCACAATTCTAATTGTAGCTAAAATATAATGGTTATGGGCATTGAAATAAGCAAGCTTAGATATTGGATATAAGATGTTTGACAAATTTGATTTGTGTTAATAGGTAATATACGTAACTTGGCAATGGAGAAGGTGGCAAGCAACGTAATGTTTCCTTGCAAATACTCCACCAGTGGTTGTACAGTTTCATTAGTGCATACTGAAAAAGCAGATCACGAGGATGCATGCGAGTACCGTCCATACAGTTGTCCTTGTCCAGGTGCATCCTGTAAGTGGCAGGGGTCTTTGGAACAAGTAATGCCCCATCTTATTATGAGTCATAAAAGTATCACGACTCTACAAGGTATTGAATTTTCGTTTATTTGATGGAATTTGTTCGTCGCGATATCCAATACACATTGTTCCTTGCCTGTTCTTCTAGGAGAAGATATTGTTTTCTTGGCAACTGATATTAATCTTCCTGGAGCTGTGGATTGGGTGATGATGCAGTCTTGTTTTGGCCATCACTTTATGCTAGTACTCGAAAAACAAGAGAAATACGACGGGCATCAGCAGTTTTTCGCGATTGTACAATTAATCGGTTCGAGAAAGCAAGCGGAGAATTTTGCTTACAGGTAATTGCATACTTTGGTATAACTGCGATTCATGGTATATTCATTGGAAAGTCGTCGACAGCATTTCTTAGATGTGTAGATTCAATGAGCGTGACGTTTTCACGGGATGAAATTATATTAGATAGTATCATTAAACTCAACATTTATCGAATTATTCTTCGCGAGAAGATTCTTCGTTAGATTTCCCAATACACGAATTACCAAAGAGACGACTTTTGGATCAATAGATTATAATTTGTTGATTAATTTTAATCGATTCTTATTCAACAGACTAGAACTAAACGGGCATAGAAGACGCCTGACGTGGGAAGCAATGCCACGTTCTATCCACGAGGGCGTGTCGTCTGCAATTTTAAACTCTGACTGCCTTGTGTTTGACACCTCCATTGCGCAATTGTTTGCTGACAATGGAAACTTAGGAATTAACGTTACTATTTCTATGGCATGAGAAAAGCCAGAAAAAGCAGTATAAAGCAGAAGGGAGAGAAAGGAAACAAATTATGCAGACATATCGAGCAGTCTTTTGAATGAGTATGCCGAAAGTACTCGAGGATTGCCCGCTATGATATTTCTTATGTTACCACAGATAAATATTAGCAGTACAGAAATATAAGAAAGCGTTCGACGTGTGTTGATAATGCAAAGCACTCGAAATGCTCGGTACAGGACCGCCGTTGAGAAGCTTTAAAGTGTACTTGTATGTGATATCAGCACTCACAAACACAATAAACACGTTTTCAGTATATCCATGATGCGACTTTAAAGCTTTTACATTGAGTACGACATCTAATTCCGAGAAAAAGTGTGTACCTGATATTTGTCGCGCGCTATTGTCACCTTACTCTCATTCATTTTGCATTAAATTTCCAAATATTCTTCAGAGGGAAATCATGTATTATGACTAAATTCTATGACACTTCTTGCCCATGTTTCAACATTTTTTAGGATATTTTACGGCTAATGCAATTCTTTATTACGAGAGCTTACATTACCAAATGTAATATCTCAAAAGTTCATTTTCAATCTTGTGAATTCAATTATCACGTTTCATTTGGCACCGATACATATTTATTGCTATATGTCTTTGTTTGTTAAAAAAAGTTTACATTCTCTCTTGCAAAGTAACACCTCATTTATTTGTAATTTTCCATTTCATTGAGGGTCCTGTATGTATACGAGTCTTGTATATAACGTGATAGATCTGGTTATTGTTCATAAATAAACTCGATATATCGTTTGATTATTCGAAAACAGGATGTAGATATATGCTTTCCGCGATTTCCTTACGCACGAATAGCATAAAAGACAGATCAGTTTCTCAGGATCTAGTCCTATTATCGAAACGAGATACTAATATTTTTACAGTTGTATCAATACAGTGAAGAGCAATGTTCAATTGTGCAGCAAGGTTCCTGTGCATGATACGAAAGTTAAAAGCGATTGAAACGATTATGTTGATATTACGGAAATACTCTTGGAAACGTTATATTAAGCATAAGTTTTACAGTGTGTTGCAATACCTGCTAATATTAACCTCGGTGTAAGCTTAATTTTAAAAAGATTATATTTTATTGATATATGTGGATAGAGAGCGAAAAGGAAAAAGTTACTTTATATTGTATTCAACATCCATCATGTTAGTACCCTCAATGAACGTTTTCTCTTCAGCACAAATTATGTTACATTGATATTACGAAATAGCATTCGTACTCGAAATTACTGTGAAAAATTACCAACGACGAAGATCTCTCTTTGATCTCTGTTATTTATACTTCTTCACGATACGCCAAAATATGTCAGATTTTTCCTTCATCCTGTTGTTTTACGTAGCGTTAGTAAACTTTGTAAAAGAATAAGATATCCATACAGAGCATTGAACCGAACTGCGTGGGAAAGATTAACAAGTAACAAGGTTGAAAGAAGAGAGAAAGAAAAAGAGAGAAAGAGAGAGAGGAGAGTTACGAGGAAGATTACTTTCTTCAAAGGAACAATTTAGACTGAAATGTAACTATATGATGAGTAGGCTAAGTCTCTATAACGATTGATTATATATATTTTTCATAGAAAGAAAACTACACGAGTTTTACTTTCACTAAGCGATTCGTATTATTGTTGAAACGACTTTGTCAAAGCACGCTGTTCTACGATATTGGATTGATATCGCTATATTCTACGCTGCCGAGGTACTCATGTTATTAGTCGGTTTAATGCCCTGTGGCAAAGCCTTATGATTAAATGAGAACGTCTCTCGTTTATATAAACCGGGCGTACTGTGCTTATCTCATCAATAATTGCGAAAGAGAAAGAGTTCACGAGTGTATAGGCGGAAAAACGCTGTTATTGTAAATAAAATGACAACTTATTATGTGATATAATTATTATGAATAAAACGTAAATCGATATGCTGATACGTATTCGCAGCGTTGGAGGAACATCACAGGGAACCAAGTGAACGGTGTGTTCCAGCGTGTTACGGCGTGAGAGCGATTGATTGACGCTTCTATAAGAGACAATGGTGACTTTATAGAATGCGATTTATACAATACTGTTGATTCTAGCCAGTAAGGTGAGATCCAGTGCTCTTATAGAATCATCGAGTTTGTACTTTCACCGTAACGCACACGTATATCGTGTATATGATCGCGTATTACCGCTTATACGATTACATTTACACACATTTATTAGCTGGATGTTTAATTTTAGTAGAATTTAACGAAATAAGCGTCCGTACATTTTTGGCGGTTACCGAAAAAGAAGAAGAGGAGAGAGAGAAAGAGGAACAGAGAAGCAGGATCGAGTCTCTAATTTTGATGTTGATTGTTATCTTACCGAGAGTGTAGAAAATATCTTCCCATTTCTAGCATAAAACGTTACCGCGCTCACAATCGAAGTGCTACGAGAACCGACAATGTATCCGGGCGCCAATTGATCGTGTTTGATTGTTTAAAGAATATCGATTTGTCGTTTAATGATACTAACGATCCTTGTAACAAGGAATAGCACAAACAGCAAGGTATTTTTAAGATTATTGTGAAAGGAAAAAAATTACAGATACCTACTTGCTAGGTGTAATTTTTGTCGCTATAATAGATGCATCACCGGTAGCAGTGAACTGATTTTTGAGTTTCGAAGGAAACACCTTTTTATCGTTAAATTATTGTGTACATAACGATAAGATGAGTAATAAAAAAAATAGCGATAAATACTTTACTCCTTAATTAAATAGTAATTTATTCTTTAGCGTATGTGAGGCTCCGTTGCTGATTTACTAAAAACGCGATCATTTAGGGAAAGTACGCATAATTTATTCAATTCTCTTTGCGAATGGATATGTTGCTTCACTGGTGCCGCGCACACGTTCGCGAATCAATTATCGAACGGTAACGCAGATAATAGCTTTGTCATTGCTTCTTTCGAAATGACATTCGCGCTATGTATCATGTCGATTACGCTCTTCGAGCTATTTATCGATATTAATGAATAATAATTATAATTAACATTAACAAATAATAATATAATTACATTTATAATTCTAAGTATAATTATATTACAATTTTGCAAGTTTCACGTTGGAATTGCGATGCAACATGAAATCATTGTAATTGCGCCGAGCGCGTTCGACGGTAGGCCAGTGACATATCCCTGCAAGATCGCGAATTCGAGTAAACGCAGAACGTAGCGAGTTCTCTTTGTTTGACAGTTTATACGATACCATGCGAGATCGTGTAGACAGATTGTAATTGTAAATGGCGAATCGCGGCACATCTTTGTATTCTAACGCGATTCTATCGGAAAAATCGGAGATGCTCATGTATTCGCAGAATAGTACATTATCGAGAGATAGCTTTATTTAATATAATGTATATACTCCTTAGATATATATATATATATATATATATATATATATATATATATATATATATATGCGTATTTATAGAATCTAAAAATGTTCGAGCCATGTAAAAGCATGAATAAATTTTTTTTTATAAATACTTTTCATCACACGCAAAATTGCTTCTGTCCCATATCTCGCGAGAAATGAGAACACACGTTTCAGATAAATATCTACTTAAGAGAAGTATCTGAACAATTATAAAGTGATTACATGTAATGAGCGTTAAATGAGTATGTAATAATAAATTTAGTCAGATTCTTACATACTAACGTTTGATATTATATGATTGCAATTCATATTGTTTTCGAATACATTTTAATTGTATATAAGGAATATTGCAAGATGACGTCGCTCGGGGAAAATTTTGAGAAAATTTAAGACTGACAATGCGTGAAATGTGTGAACGATGATCGTACAATCAATCAAAGAAATAAATATTGAAAATGATTTTTCATTATTTTATAACAAAAAGATATCTAATATTCCACACGTTATTATATCGGTATCGACGAAAAAGACCGATATAACAATAACAAAAGTCAAAAATATAAATTGACTTTTTATAAAATTATTTTTACTAAAATGTCATCTCTCGTTGCGAACGAGCAATTGCATACCAATTATTTGGTAATATTTATATATTTATATTACAATCTTAATATCTATTTTTAAAAACTACTATATTCTACTTAAATATCTATGAGTATCTTTTTGATAAATACTTTTTATACATATAATTTTTCTTCACCTAGTTGAAGCAATTTTTACACAATGTATGTCATTATTTTTGTAGAAGAAACAACTTTAAATAACAATATTGTAAAATATTTCTCAAATATAGTAGTTTCTCCTTTTACTCAATTAAAATCATTTTCCCCGTTTGAATACTTTCTTTTTTTTTTTTAATTTAAAGAATAAATTTGTTTTTCCAGAATTTAAGATTCTTTGCGGAGGAAACGTGATCTTTACTCGTATAAATCGTTTATTAACAATATTCGATATGAAAGATGCGACGGAATAATGCTTCTTTACGTCTTTCATTTCGTAGTCTATATTATCGTCCCTTGCTGTACAGCACACACTTCTCTTGCATAAAATGACGATGCAATGTAATCTAGTTCAGGAAAATGTTATATTTGGCGTTGCTGCGCGTTCACTTTATTACCACTATCTTGGTGCGAAAGGAGCGACGTTTGTGTATCACGTGCCTTCTTCATGCTGTTTCGCTGCTGCATCATCACCTGTTCAGATCTGTGATTTATAAAATATTGACATTAATTTAGGTACGCATAGATGGATAATTTCAAGTTAAAATTCTATCATAAGTATAGTAATGACAGTAACGAAATAATGATTTTCTTTGCGCGGCGAATCATTAATCAAAAGATAAAGTTTCTTTCTCGAGCAGTGCCAAAATTCGAATTTGCACAGACGAATCCCACGTCCGATGTGAAGCTTCTCACCGTCGTTATCACGATAACATGCACACGCTCGTCGTAACTTGCGCGCGAGTGTGTCGAAGCGAAACGCAAAAGGGAATCCGCGAGATACGACACGTCGAACAGCCTCGTAAATTTCATTCACCTGTGATAAGAGTCCTTCCGTTGTTTCTGCGGCCAAAGGTGAAACGCACCATATATCAAGGGATTCACCAAGCTGTTGCTCATGCCGAAGAAAAATATCCCGCTTTGCAAATCATCGCTGAACTGAAAGTATTGTGAAAGTTAGTTAGTAAGTCAGTCGAATTTACTGTCACGCATTACAATGCGACAAAATATACCAACGTGTTTGTCAGGATTGAGAAACAGAAAGATAATCATCATCGTGTAGTACGGTGTCCACCAAATCAGAAACGCCGCAACGATGACGACGCTGATACGCAACGACTTCGTCTTCGCCCGGTGCATCAGTCTTCTCCTATTCAGGTCGCTGCTTCTAGTATACAAAATACCGTTCCTCTCTGGCTCTCCTTTGAACGTCCTTTGACTTCCTGAAAGATGTTAGATATATAGCTCGGTTCAGCGCCTCAAAATAGTAAATTCTAATTTCTCTCTCTCTCTCTTTACCGGTTTAGCTATTTGTTAAACATTTTTAAACATTATTAAATATTATTCAACATTTTTGTTCACTTAAACATATTTTATTTATTAACGCTGGTTACATACTTGTGTGAACGAAAGTTAAAATCACACTCAAATTCGTCAGAGTAATTTTATGGGATCAAAATATTATCACCGGAGTTTCTGTTCTGTTTATTGTGTTCGCATTTAATTATGACGTCTGCGAATTGAAAAGAGAATGTTCAACGTATCTTACTAATCTATATTATCGAACTACGAGCGATGGCACTAGTGAAAAAAGCTAATTTATTTCGACGTACGAGAGAAAAAAACATTATATCGATTTCTCGTCCTTGACGTCACAGTTCAGTATAGCTATATAGTACGAAGAACTCTAAAAATCAAAGTCGAAAGTCCCACGGTACTCCGTCGAGAAGAAAATATACACAAAAATATGATATATGAATGCGGTCTCACGGAAGAACGTACGTCTCACGGAGACGACGTAGAAGCACTTACGGGAGAGAGTGATCACTGTGGACACGTATGTGGTAATTAAAATTGCTAGTGGCAGCAGGAACATGAAGAATAGGCTGAAACTGGCGTACAGCTGCTCCTGCCAGGCCTCGGTGTAAAAGCCATGAGTCACGCACTGTGTAAACACTTCGACGAATGGTCCCTCGGCAACGTGAAATATTGCGATCTGTAACACATGGTGACGTATGAGAATGTGAATGTTGATATCGTTGAATGTGTGCGCGACGCTTTGATGAAAAAGAATACAAAGTGCAATACACATACAATATTAATTATGACAATTAATTATTGTAAGATTAAACGTCACAGCCACTCTTTCGAAGGAAGCTGTGAAATTCGCAAGATGAAAGCCCGTAAAATGAAAACGCGTAATTTGCAAAGAGAGAGATAAATGAAGCGGATAATATTAGAGGATTTTTCGCACTGAGGTAACTTGTGGTTCGACATAAACCCGATTTGACCTCGCGACAATCTTAAGTTCATTTCACGTCTCCGTATGCACGAGCAGCTTGTCAATCGATTGTTGATTGAATTTTAAATTAGACTTCGCTCTCATTTATAAAGATACTCGAAGTAATTATGGATATCCGGACGTCTATTCGTAATAATGTTATATTAAAGCAGTTCTATTTCGAAGGCGAACAGTTGTAACTGTGGCAGGTCGAACTTGCGAATCTCGAGATTTAGAGTAATCCTACAACCGCATAATTAAATTTGCAGTCATCTTTTTAGAGACGCTTTACAGATGGAGGATAAAACTTTCGCGTACAGTCGGTTGCAAATCAGTTTACACACATTTGTGTGATAAAGCCGCAACGGCTTTAGGTTGTTGGAATTGAAAGCCACTGCTGAGATGTATATGTATGATAAGGTGTCGCATCAACGTACAAGTTATGACGACTAAAATGATTTACAACATTTCATTATATATATTTTAATGTATATAATCTGTTTTGCAAATGAATATATTCAAGTCTGAGCTGAATCTGCGTCTGAGCACACACAACTGTCAGCGAAGCAAGCAAGCAACTCGTCATACTGACCAATATGCTGACGTAACACCCTGTACATCTGTAGTAATCGATTACAGACATGTAAAAAATTACTTATTGTAAAATTACTTATTGTAAACGTTCTATCAATTTAAAATAAGTTCGTCCTTTCAATTTTCACAAATGTCACACTCTATATCCTGTACTGTACTTTGGTTTCCGTCATAACCGACTTGCCACTGATTATACATCGTACGTTTTTGACTCGTTTTTGCATACCTGGCAGGCGCACACAAAATATGCATTCCTTCGGATTCGTTTTTCGTTCCGTCGTTAATCCGGATCTTCCCTGCCGGCTCAAAAATAGATCGTGACGCACGAAGGAAGGAGAAAAGATCGTAGTATAATACGATCTATCCTTATAAGTCCCATAACAGGAAAGTGCATCTGAAGGATACGTCGAGGAGCTAATATCAGTTCGTTCACACCGGTCGACGCTCATTTGTAAATGCCGACGTTTCATTGTACCTTCCGCGGCTTTTCGACCGAAGATGCGATTGCGCCCGGCTAGTCCTAAATTCGTCGTGTTACCTCGTCAAGATCGCGGGACACCGCACGTCGTGAAAAGAACCTAGACGGGACGGGAGAGGCGCATTGATTAAACGGCTACGGTGGTTCTCTGCGTCTCAGGCCTGTCAAGCAACACGTCCTTCGTCCACCATCAATCTCCGCTGACCTATACGAAGCCTTCTTCCCCGTCGTCGCCGGCAACAGTATTATTCTCTGGCCGGGTGTGATGGCTGGCGATCTCTATTCAGCTCGATTCTAACGAATAACCTCGACGAGAGTCGCCTACGAACATCCAATCTGAAAATCCGCATCCACCGGTCGGTGTGCATCTGACACCTCGTCAAATCGACTCACTTTTCGTTTATCTGCGATCCCCTTGTGAATGCTTTACATTTGTAATGCTTCATTCTTGTAGGATGCTTCCCGACCAACGCGTAATTAATTTCCGTCGGTGAGCTCGACAGAGAGAAGACTTACGTATGTTTTAAGAGAAAATTTAATTTTCATGCTATTTTGTACACACTTCTGTAGCTTGATTGTCTCATCCCAATTTGACATGATTTAGAGTTGGCCCTGTTAATTCATATCGGAATCTATTGAAGCCGTTATGGTGCATCTGTCGACGAAGAGCCTCGGCTTAGTGATCTCGGCGATCAAGAATCTCCGCGAGATCCAAGGATCCACGTCACGAGAGATCCTTCACTACATTTCATCTGTTCACGACATCCCGGCCACTAAAGCGCGACATCAGGTTTAACATTTCATCGTCATTTGAGTTAACATTCCGAAATATAAGGAGTAACTTCTTTATTAGCTCCTCTTGCCTGTTTCTATATTCTTTCCCTCCTCTTTAATTTCTCTTTTACCTACTTTTGTACGTGCGGCATTAATCACTATTCCACGAAAAAAAATTAAATATTATATATAAATATTACGAAACGGAATAGCGAATAAGATACGGTAGGATATGCATTAAGAATATTCAAAGCAATTATCGTAAAATGATGATATTATAAGCAAATGCCACGTGTAATTTCTTTTTTCTATATGTTAAAGTAAATGAGTTTTTTATCTTGCACACCATTACATTTGCCAGTAAATCAGTGAATTCGACTTTTAAAATGCGTCGAAATCTCCCGTCTTCGTCGCTTTTTATATTACGTATTGCATAATTTGAATTAAGCATGTACGAGTTCTCGGCAAAAGTTGTTTTTCTTCCGATGATCCAGTTTAACGCACACAGAAATTTCTCGATTCAGGAAAAAGATGATTTATCGTAAGTGTCGCGAATCCCGTTTTATCCGTCGAAACTAGACGACCGTGACCTAAATGTACACTTGCAAATTTAAAACCACCATCTCATAAATATATTTCGTGTTATAATATAAAACGAGCCGACGTTTCTAAATTCTATTATGTAAAGCGCATTCTACAATAAGCGACTTGACAATAAGCAAGCAAATTGACCAATCACAGTCGACTATTTTCAAAAATAATCGACTGTGGTTGGCCAACTTGTCTATGACTTATGATTAATAGCTTATTGTGGTATGTGCCTAAGCTCTACTATACAATAGCTATTCGCATCTTGTATAGTTTTGAAATAACAGGAGTTGCAGAAAAATTTTCGCGACGAAAGTTGTGCGGCAGGGAAGGAGCCATCAAACGATGGTAACCATTTTCTTGTGACTACACTCGCTGTAGACGGAGTTTCCTCCAACTCCCATAGTTTCGAGGGAACTCCGAACACTAATAGTTACTGGTCCTCTCTCTGTATAGTAGAAGTTTACTTAGATAATTTATATCACATCAAGTCACTTCCACTACCAGGTGCAGAATGCCCTGAAGCGCGGCGTCGCTTATGGCATCCTGAAGAAGACCGGCGGTCACTACAGTCTGCCAACCGACAGCGATATTGCGCGTCAGGAGGTGGCCATTCAGGAGATCGATCTGCTGGACCTGTATTGCCAACGCAAGATCAATCGATCGCGGATCTACAAGATGCAAATTGACAGAGGCGCTAAGTCCCGAAGGGCAGGCTGCAGGTGCGGCAGGCGAAGGAGACGGAGAAGGTCGCGAGGATGTGCTCCGGAGACCTGCAGGAGGCGACAAAGAAGGAGAAGGAGTAGAAGGAGATCGAGGAGGGGCAGGTGTGGGTGCGGAGGTCGCGGCGGATGTGTTGGCAAACAAGCGGCGACGCTTGAAGGCACACATGGCCAGAAAGACGACAAGCTGATCGGGTTGGACAACGAGACGATGGAGGCCACCGCCGCGGTCGTTGGTACCGAGGGCAGCAGTCGCTCGAGTATGTCGGGATCTTCGAGTCCGGAAAGAACGATTGCGGATAATAATACGGAGTTACGGGATCGCGATATGCCGCTGCATTAATCGCGAGAGCGTAATTAGAGAATCGCTCTCTCTCTCTCTCTAGGATTCCGGAACTTGACAATATGACTGTTCGATGCTCGGAGTGGAACTGCACATGTTCAAACCGCTTCGGAAAGGATTAATCCTGTTTTCCATATTTGAAATTGATCGAAGAAAAATTCAGCGTGTGACGAATGTTATTTCTGCGTAACAACTGAATTAGCGTTTCTATTTGATGACTTTACTTTTGCTACGTGAAATTGTATCGTAAGGTGTATGCACCGAGTTTTGTAATAAAGTTATTGTTTTATGTCGTAATCGCGTGTTTGCAGAAATACGTATCGAAATTTAGTCGCGTTGTCGAATTAAGAGCTATCACCGTTCTTCAGTTATCGATAATCGCGATGAATGCGAAACGTATTCTTCGAATATGCCGGGTGCTCTCTGAATGAATGAAAAAGGAACGGTTTGCTGGAACGAAAGAACGCAGTTTGCATATTAACGATATAACGCGATGCACGCGAGACGGAATATATATATGCTTGGTTTGTTTATTGTGTTCCTTTATTTTTCCGTGTCGAGACGAAGTGAATATACACTACAAATTGCTTTGTTTTTACATTTGTTTTGTCAAGATAAGCACTTTCCCGGAAGTCCAATGTAAATCGAGAACGTCGTCGTGCGAGCGGCAGTTCAAGTTCAGGTTTCTTCGGTTTCGACAAGAACTCTATTTATTGCTGCTTGCTTCGCTACATTCTTACGTTATTTCGGTCACTCGTTCTCCTCCATTTCGTCTTGATTAAATATTTCTTTTTAACTTGCACTTGTGTAATACTAAATGTTTACGTGTTACGTAATGAGTGACTTGTATGAGTATCGCATTGCCATCGCAATTATTATACAATCGAGCAGTTTCCCGTAGTGTACAATCAAGTTTCAGTTCCTGATTTAAAAAAAGTCAGTCTATTACAGTCTAATTAACCGTAATATCTCACAGCATGGAAAAGTGCATATTATGACATCGCAATTACGAGAGCAGAAAAAAGTGAAAACAACTACCGTACTGCATTGCGTGCATTATCGGCGCTCAAAACATGATTACACCGTAATTGACTGCACAGTTTTACGCGATTTCTGTAAGTAGGGATTATGTATCATCGATTGTCACATCGATAAATGACCCAGATAAACCTTATATTTATGTTAACCAAATTGAAAACCATGTTTTCAATCGGTGCAGTTTCGCAGGACAACAAATTTCAATTTTGGACATCCTCAAACACGTCAGAGCACGAGAAATGTTCCTGTACGTCTTGTTCGAGCTCTTTTCGTATTTTCTACTAATAAGTGAATTGTATCAAATTTCGAAGATAACCCAAAATATGTCGCACACATAAGCATACATACAGTATATATACAACAAAGGCCAATTTTTCTTTGTATACAATAATGAGTAATAAGTACGGAACATTTGGTTTTTTAATTAAATTAATCCAAAGCAAAAACTTGTTTGCTATATCAAGTTTGTTTGATCTTTGATATTTTGTCAATTATCCGGTTCTGGAATTCTTAATGCTCCTAACAAGCTCGAGTCAAATAGCGTCAGATTGAGTCCATATTAATTAATATAGCTTCATATATTTTGCCAATTAAAACCGTATAAAATAAATATAGCGCGCAGTATCCTCGATAAAACTTCTTTTTCAAGAGGTCTTTAGACAATTATACTGTCATCCAATGTTGTACGTAAAACTGGTTTTCCGAGGGATTTTTTTCCCATCTCTAGTGGATCAGCTCTCTTGGCTATGTTTATTGATTGATATTTAATATTCAAATAAACCATTCAGCGCCAGACAAAGACTATGGTGTAATCTTTTTACCGCGGATTATCAACTACTGAAAAATATATATCCGGCAAATTAGTACATTTGTAATGATTAAATAAACTGCATTTTTGAAAGCGCGTCGTCTTTTTTGAATACGTCTAAAACGTATTCTAAGACATCGCGTTGGTGATGTAACAATTTTCAAGTTAAAGTATCAAATATTTTCTTATTTTGTGTGTGTGCAATCTAGGGCAATGCGATGCGGTTTGAATATGTAGCGCATACTTAGTATAATTTTATGAGGTAAATCAAGGATGAAGGTTTTCAGTTGTATATTTTATGTAAAGTGTTCATGTTCTCGAAACATCGTCGTTGTTATAATCGTTATAATCGTGGTTAGACTCATGTGAAAATTATAATTATTGCTACACACACACTAAGCGTGGTTTATAACGTAAAACACTTTTCTAATCTCGCGTAGAGAGGCCACAAAAAGGAAATCTATCTCTCTAGAATCTCTCCAAGATTCCCTCTGAGATCTTTAGAAGGACCAGGGGCGTAAAATTCAACTTCCTTATCGCAGCAATTTCCTCTCACGGTTCAGAAACTTTAAAAATTAAATTTCGTAAAAATTCGTAAAAGGAAAGCAAAATTTCAAACATGAAAGTAATTTTCTTGGAAAGGTGTAGAAACGAAATTCATAAAAGGACGCGCGACGTAGTTGGATACGTTTTGTTAAATTAAGCGTCCGACTATACAATCGTGTTTCTACTTTCTCTCTCACTGAAAAACACACCGAGAATCCGAGTACCAGACTAGGAAAACAAAAATAACGTCTTACCTGTGGAGTGGCGAGCACGAAGGACAATATCCAGACGAAGAGGACGAATCGCGAGCACCTCTGATTCTTGCTGAGACCCTTCATGGGATAGCGCACTGCGACGAACCGGTCGACGCCGATCAGCACCAGGACGAAAGTGCTCAGGTACAGGCTGAACATCTGCAGGAACTTGAAGAGCTTGCACGCGACGTTGCCCCACAGCCAGGCGACGTTGTAGCTCCAGATCGCATCGCCGGCCATGCAGAAGACGGTGACCAGCAGATCAGCTACCGACAGATGCAGGAGCAGAGTGTAGATCGTCGAACATACCCGTTGCTTCCGGCGGTTCTTCCTGATCGAGTAAATGGTCGCCAGGTTGCAGGCCAGACTCAGCACCGACATGACTGCCAATACGATGACCTTGAAGTAAACCGAATCGGTCAGCTTAGGCGCGTGTTCCAGACACGTGACGTTCTCGTACAGATCGATCTCGCTGAAGTCGCTGAGGTTGTCGCGGGGTCGCGGGTTCAACTTGAGATCGAGGCCGAGAGTGTGGCCGACGAAGTTGGTGAGGTTGTCGCACGCTTCGGGAGCGACGGTGATGCTGATGCTGTTCATCGTCAGTTTCATTGTCCCCGACATCGGCGTCGGCCGCACCACGTCTCCCTGGGCGATGCTTCCGGTTCATCAGAGATATGATATCGGCGACCGAACGCTTGCCACCGTTCTCCCGCGAAATGGCACGGTCGCCTTAAGAGGTGAGACGCATGTTCCGTGGGGGACATCTAAAGTGGGAAGGATGATCTCAGGGTCCTTGTCGCGGGCGATTCGCGTCGTCGCTACTGCCGGTTCTTGTCTTCTTTTGGACCAAACCCGTTCCCTCGATGCCGCAGCCGCTTTTACGCTTCTTTACGCACACGTGCTGGAGCGAATCCGATCTTCGCTCTGCTAGTCCCGTGCGAGGGTTGTCGCGAAACTGTATCAGGCTAATGTCCAAAGGACATCGTGGGAACGATGTCCGTGTATCGAGGCCGTTCTCATCTTCGAAGAGAGTTCCACAAATAATATTTGCTTTCACGTCTCGGCCATCCCTTAAATTATTAATATTTTTAATTCATGTTCTTATATGCCGTCAATCGACTAACATCATTTCGACAGGCTTTCATGAGAGTTTCCTCGTAAGAAGATATGAATTGTCACTAAAATAGTTGCTGCAAGTCATTCAATCAGATATAGAAACGAATCGAACGCGATTTGGCCAATTCATCTTCTTGACAGCTACGTCAATACGTAATCTAAGAGTAATTCGAAAAATCCTTAGATAAACGAATTTTTCCAGTGATGTGAACTGGTTATAATGTAAAAAAAAACAACTAACCTCAACATTCTTATAATATTATATGTATCGTTGGGAGGGGGGATAGATTGGGAATAGATTTATATTTCTTAAAAAAGGGAGGGAAGGGGAGTTTTTCTATATTAAAGATGCCGATCACATCATAAGAGCCAGACATATTAATAACTCATTATATAGAATGTTTCACAATTAGCGACTGTAAATATGATCCCGAGTCGATCTTTTTTCAGTAAAAATATTAAAGAGACTCATCGTTTATTGTAAATTTCCAAAGCTATATATTTTATATTTTCGTGGTTGAGGCTCAAATTCAAATTTTATCGCGGAATAAAAAAAGTCTATTCTGAATTTATTAAAAATATTCTGTTAATTACTTGTTCTTTTTTTAAGCTTAGATCGTGAAGAGATACTTAATTTTAATCGTTCGTAACTCAGAAATGACAAGTGACTCAACACTTTTGCTTAGCAGAAAAACAATTCCAGATTTTTGCCATTAAAATTAAGATTGCGAGTTGTGAAACACCTTATACACGTCCGACGAATTCTGTGAAATATAAACAACCCTTCCCCAGCGATCACGCACCACAATTATATCGATATCTTTTCTTTCTTCTTCTTCTTTCAATCAATAAACTGTCGTGATCTCCAGAAAAACACATGCGTAAATAATTTTATATGCGTCCGCTCTATTTTGTATATTTCTTTTCTTCCACCGCGCATATATGAGTCATTGTGTTGACTCCCAGATTAGGAATATGAATTTCGTCTGCGTATAATAGACTGAGATATCGAGCGTACGCACCTTGTGTGTTTAAAGACAAATAATTATAAACGTGGAGTTTTTCCCGAGTGGACGACATACATTTTATCTGACGGTGGATAATTTTCTTCGACGAATTCAGATTCAGTTTCCTTCGAACGAGAATAACTGTCGCGTGACGAGTTTGTTGCACGTAAATCACTTGACAAGAAAATTGTCTCTCTAAACGTATAACTAGCAATTCTCTGGTTGTTGTAACATTCCCGCTCCCGTTTGTGCACACTTCACACAAATTTCACGAAAAGCGCGCTCGGAATTAATCCGCGCACGACACGGTGCGCGATGTCGTCAATTGTCCGGACCTCCGAAAATAGTTTAACTGTACCACATAAAACTCCTCCAAATTAAAACAATTCCCTCTGCCTTGTCCCTCTTTTCTCTCTTTTCTAACGTTTAACAGAAGTTTTCGCTGTGAAGATTTTTCGCGTAATTTATGAGGTCCGAAGTAGGATAATCCGCATGTGTTTTGAAAAAAAAAAAAAACAGACGGATGCAATTCACCACAGAGAAGGAAAATTTACACTCATTGCCGGTGCGCACAGAGATGCCACGATGGCTACGTTCGCACTGCGTGAACCCGACTGATCGATGGAAAATCAACACAACACTTGTCGCGCTCGCTTAACAGCGTCGTATTTATTTATTGCCTTGATCTTTTCTCCCACACCTGAACACATCGAGAATGTCTCGTTCCCGAGCCGAATTGGACAAGCACTCATGTATTATCACGCGGGATGCTACTTGTCTAGAGTTATTGATTGATATTAGCATCGTTACGCACTAAATCATTCTGTCGGAAACGCGTGTAAAGCATAATACAAGTTTTTTTGGGAAAGCGAGTAAGCGCGCTGCGGAGTATGTAGTTATGTGTATGTAAATGAAAAGAAGATAAAACAGGAAGGAAACATTTGTTTTTCTCTTCTTTTTTTTTAATTTATAAAGTTTAATTGATGCACGTCAGCGTTAAATCGCGTCATATATCTCGTTTTACTGCTTAGGTGATAAATACATGTAGAAAGCTCCGTGTTGCGGCCGTAAAACGTTGTCGCACAGATTTAATTCCGTGGGCTCCTCCATGCTCTTGATCCTCCACTTTCGCAGTACAGCGGTTAATAACATCTTTTCCTCGAGCAAGGCGACTCGTTGCCCGATGCAATTTCTCGGTCCGGCGCTGAACGGGATGAAGGCATACGGATGCATGCGTCTCGTATTTTCGGGTAGGAATCGATCCGGATCGAACTTCAACGGATCTGGCCAGACCGACGGGTTACGATGCAACAAGATGATCGACAAGAGGACCGTGATGTTTTTCGGGATCACGTAACCATCTTAAATAGAAATATAGAAGATGGGAATGTGCGGAATGCATAGGATTCGATGGTCGCGGAGTCCACGTTCCCTTCATTAATTCCATTGAAAGAAATTATTCGAAATTGAAAAATTAATAATTATGAGAAATTAACAAACGGATGTTTTCAAAATATTGATGAATTTTTGTATCCAATCAGGAAACGTTCGATGAGAAATATCGGTTCATAATTTTTTTATCGGTTTATCTGATGAAATGTCATTATGATTGAAAGTATTCGACTAAATTTAATCGAATATTCTGATCGGATATAAAAATTCATCGGCATTTTGATCAGAAATATCCGTTTGTTAATTTCTTATCGAATAACTTCTCTCAGTGCCCGTTGCTTTCGATTAGCTAAGCTCGCTGGAGAATTGCGCAAATCTAGTTACATTTTCGTTTTCGCAGACTTGCTACTGTAGTCGGAGAAAAAGATTGCTAAGCATCTCTCGGCTAAGATAAATGAACGACCGAAGTACGCTTCTACTTCGCGCTTAAACCTCCCGCTTTCGATGGACATTGCAGTTTAACAACGTACTGCGCGTATAAGTTACCGTATGCAATCGCGCTCAGTTTTCTCGTCAGGTTTTTCTGCTTTATCTTTCTTTCTTTCTCTCTATGCTGCAAGTAGCTCTCGCGAAAGAGATTACTAATATTGCCTTTCGCGATTCAAGCTCGAGGGAGCGGTTTCGCGTCGTCGTGCGATATTCGAAAAATCATGCCTCACCTATGTTTGTGTCCCTCATGATTCGTCTCGCAATCAATGGCACGGTTGGATATAATCTGATAGACTCTTTCATGACTCTGTCGAGATATTTTAATTGAGAGAGTTCCTTCATAGTTGCTGGACTTTGCGAATCTTGGAAAACTTGGTCTATTTCTTCGTGGACTTTCTCTTGATGTTCAAGATTACTGCCTAGACAGTAGAGTACCCAGTTGAGCGTAGTCGACGTTGTGTCGTAAGCCTGTTGTCATATTATCGTTTAAAATTAATAATACGCATAATTATAATACGCATAATAATATACGGCATTGAGAAATTCAAATTATAAAAAGAGAGAGAGAGAAAGAAAGAATTCTCTAGCGGTATAGAGAATTTTTGTTGCTGCATCTTGGACTCACCGCGAACATGAATGTATCGACATGTGATATCAGATCTTCGTCAGACAGCAGGTTGTTTTCGTTTTCATTTAATTCTAACAAAAGTTCTAGTATGGGTTTCTCCCTCGGCTTGGCTACACATATTCAACAATAAGTTTAGTCTTGGAGCAAAATAGATATAAAGGAAACGTTCGTTTCCAAATGTAATCTCCTTTGTGATTTTATACGCAATATTTGAAACAACGATAAGTCTCAGGTTTATGTAAATTATTAATTACATCACACTCTCCATATATTATGTTTTACTTTCAACCGCATCATACTTCTGCATTTTGATGATGTAAGATTTATAGGCGTACCTGCCATTTCAAAGTCATTGTCATTATTCTGCGATTTGCCATTTTGTATTTTACGTGCGAATTGCCTCTTCTGTATTATCTGGAAATCGTAATATTCCAAAATCTGATCTCTTTAAAACGAAATAATGAAACATGTGATTATAAATTTTATGAATAATTAAGTTATGTTGAATTGTTTCCATACAGATGATATTTTTAATGGTTTGTGGATTTTTCAAACGCGTCAAGATCAAAGTTCTTACGTATTTCGTAAATTCCTTCATTTCGCGAAGCGTCTTTTTATATTCTCTTCCTGCTTGAAACAAATTATATATCCAGTCTATCCAAAACAACGGTTGACTCGTACGCAGCGAAATCAGTTGAAGCAATCTGAAAGTATTATTAATCTCTCAATTCCAGTCAAAGCGAGACCCGACAAGCAACAAATGTAATAAATTTTTTGTTGTTCTCGATAATCATATTTACTACTTCGTTATTTTTTAATCAACAGCTGCATAATTCAAAGTCAACGTTAAATGTCGCGATCGTAACAATGTCTGGGCCGAGTGACTAAAGTAACGAGACTCAAACGATTACATGTGTAGAATTTTTTGATATTTGTATCGAGGGACATGCACTAAAAGACATAAGATTAATATTTATCGAGCCATCTTAAAAATACAATGTCGTCACCGCCGACAAATAAAAAACCAGACATCAATCGATGTCGACAAGAAATAAGAAAAAACGAGAAAGAATAATGCTCACTGGTTTGAGGTGTTTTAGGTGTAAAATTAATGGTTCAATATTTTAACGATCGCGTTCGCAAATTTTAGATATAGAAACAAAGTATTATGTATATCGAACAAACGACGTTGTAAACTCACTTCTGTGTACAGTTGACATAATTAGCCTTAGCTTCTGAAGTATGCACATTTATACCCATTATAGTATCTAGAAAAAAGTAATGCGGTTACTGTTATCGACAAATCTCCTGCAGCATGATAACGTGAATCTAACAACACTAGCAATTTGCAAAAAAATCCAACAACATTATGTGCTTTAGCTAGGAGAGCGTTGCTCGGCAATCACGAGTTACTAATTTATGCGGTTATTCCCTGTGCTTTACGTATTTATTGAGTGAATGACCTACTTCCTTTTTTAGTCCAATTAAGCTTCGTCAGCTCGTTAAAGATTGCTACTTCAGTGACTTCATTGTCACTGAAGTTGCGTTCGCGGATAATTATTTTCTACGTGACGCGGAATTAAATTTGCCAGATTACGATATGTTAAAGTGATTCCTGTAATATTTATGTTGACACGGTTGCGCGACAAATTGTCGCCGCGTAAATCGCTCGATCGCGAGTACGAGCTGTCCGCAACTTCGTTCCTTACCGAATGTAATTTCGAGGGTGACATTGTCTATAATGGGGGCAATGTTGATAAACTTCCCTGGATTTTCCGCAATCTCATTCTCCAGTTTTTTTAGCAGGAGTTCCGTTTTCTCAGACATTATCACACCAAACTGCTCCAGTACGTTAAAATGAAGCATTGGCGAAAGGAGCTTCCTGTCTCGGAACCATTGTTTGTCTGGAATATGCGATGCGCTTCTGTGATAAAAGTATCACGAAGTATGAAAAAATAAGATGTATGTAAAAATATGATGTCGCGTTTTCACTTTGCTGTTATCGATGAAGTCAACAGCGCAATGTGGTTTAGTAAAACTTGCGGAACACTTCGTCGTTATTTACCTTCGGAGGTAACAAGTCCAGTGCCCAGCCAGTGTTTATATAAATCGTAACTTTTCGATTTGTTTATGTGCATGCTGCTTGAAAGAATGGCCTAAAAATTTTAGAGGACAGAATAATAATAATTTGTCTTGTTGCGTTGCGTCACGGTGAAGCAAAATATCCTTCTCAGTCTCTTGGCGTCCAGTCAGCTGAACATCTTTCCAAGTCTATAACCTGATTCTCCTTATACTTAAAGTGTGTAAAATATATGTCCAGCATGCTGAACTGTTGATTGACGATTGGAAAATTTGTCTTAACATTTTTAAAGTCTGACGGTTGGCTGCACAGCAAAGTATAAAAAATTAAGAATTCTGAAAAAAATACTTTCGTATTCTAGTAATCCTTAAAGTTAAGAGAAATGTCTTGCGAATCCATTTTCTACACAATAATTGTTTTTTTGGAACTATACGACAGTCACTGGATCCAGATGTACAATTTCTTTCTCGTAAGTCTTTAATGCTATTGGCTGAAAAATATCTTTTTTAACCTTTCATCGTGCATGTATTTTATCGATATAGTGCTTTTATAAAATTTTGAAGCAGATGCCTTAAGACTGAGGAGAATATATAATCGATTCGATGCATTCATATGTAACTCAAAATAACACTATTAAGATAAGGGAATAATAATAAAATATAAATTTTCTTGCTCACTTTTATCATTTCTGGTTTATATAAGCAAATTAATGGCCGCGGTCCTGCCCAAAATAAAAAAATTCCATCTTTAAACTTGTCCAATTGCGACATAAACCACTGTATACGATCTACGGTGAGGCAATTGATTAATGTAACGCCCGCTGTGTTCCTTTTGTATATTTATATGTAAGTAGAATACGTAGACATTATACAATAGTAGACCGCATACGCGTCTTTTATTCGTTTTCTTTACCTTTTTTCTTTTGCAGAAATGAAAATGTAGAAGATAACGTCCCAATTAAAGGAAAAGAAACGAGCCCGGGAATGTGGCTGAGCTTTTTCCGCATGATATAATCTTCATAAAACAACACTGCGATCTTATACAGTAAAATAACAGCAACAGATATTGCCAATAAGTAGAAAATCGCCATCGTCGCGAGCAGAGGTTACAATTACAAATAATTTACTTTGTATACAGATAGCTTATATATAAATAGCTTCCTCTTGATTTCATTTATTTTTAAAGCTTTTTCGTTTCCTCTTCGAAATTTATGCTCCATGCTAAAGTTGCACCGATAAGTAAAACACATATTGTTTGCGACTCATTATACTTTACTCTTTACTAAATAACATTATACCTTTAAATTGCAAATCTATGATAATTATAAATGTATAGATAGTATGTAAATAGATAGTATACATAGATAGTAGATAAATGTATGTATAGCATTCGCTATATTCACGATGTGATATATTTAGATTCGAAAAATACGTTCACGTTATATCTCTTTACATTTTCTCTTATGAATGCACACAACAATTACGTGTAATATCATGGAATATATGTTCCTTTTCTTCATAACGGAAGAAATAATAAATTAATATCGGTATATTGTCGGTCAGACAAAGTAAAGAAATAGATATATTATCAGTCAGACAAAGTGGATAAAGAAGTCAATCGTATGGAGGATATTATCGACGTTTTCTATTTCAAGTCCGTGTCCTGGCGCCATCTTTCGCCGCCTTTGTCGGATGCGAATCAACTGCTCCGCACATTTTGTTCCGCATTTATTCTATCTATAAATGTAACATTGAATGCTAAAAACATTAAAAATCGGACACGACTCGTCCTTATACTGTCAGACGAAAAAAAAGCAAACAAAAAAAGAAAGAAAAAAAAGATGAATTATTTTCGTGATTTCTTTCTGATGGTCTCAGGCTGTGTCATCTCTAATTAATTTCGAATTTGTTGAATATTGTCGTTTAGTTAATTAATTTCATCTATGCTTATTTTTACAAACAATCATTTTCCTGTGTATTATTTTTTTTTGTCGACACAAAGATTCTAAAGGTACGTTCTCGTGGTAACGAGCCGGAACAACGAGCAAATCAGACACTCGTTGCGCTTGTTAGGATCTTTGCTCTTCGTAATTTGCCGTACTCCCTTATACATTCGCGACTTTGCCGATTTTTCATCTTCTATATTCGTGGCGTTTGCGGTTTCCGCGCGCGCGTTGGTCGCGTCAATTGCGTGTTAATATATTCACGCGAACGCACACCGATGTTGAGCAAGAGTTAATTTTATGCCTCGGGTTTCCCTTCTATGTAGGATCGAATGAGGTAACATTACAGCAACGGATGTTCCTGGTGTCACGTGAGATAAGCGACGAGCTCTGTCGATTCCAAGATACTGGCAGAATTGAAATCACCCGACAAAATTTGCGTTTCCCTTCAACTCGACTAAAGGTGTACCCGTGGGAACATCTTTGCTTTTCCCTCGGACGTTGTAAGGATGTTATTTCTTCGCCTCGATCGTGCATACTCAGAAAAGGTTTTAAGCGTATGGTTTTTAGACTGGAGTATTCATCATAAGTACACGTGGCAAGGTTCTTTGATATTTCAAAAAATGTACATAAGCTCGCGAACATATAGATGAGTGTAAAATGCATAAACAGCGACCATAAATACATAAAGTTGAGATACCGGTTTCGGAATAATTTATCCCGTAATTTCCTTTTTTCCCGCATATTTGGGTGACGTCAATACATCGTCAGATTTAACAATCAATATCTACGAGAATTGTACATTTCGCTCGATAAGTGCGTTACATATACATCAGTGTGTACATGTAAATTTGCATGGAATACATAAGTAATATAACGCGTTAATTTGCATGGAATACATAAGTAATACGAGCAACTGTTTATTTTTTGCGCGAAAGTCCCGATGCGCTATTAACGATGTGACATTGGCAGTGTACGATTGGAGAAGAGCGGGCTTCATCACGGGCCACGTACCCGAGCAGAAATTGAATCTAGTGATTGTCTAGTAATGACATAGAAAAGTTGGGTCTTATATCGCTACTAACTAGGAATGTAACGCTCACTTCTCCTAGTGGCTGTACCAGAAAAATTATCTAGTAGCTAGATACAAAAAAATAACTTGTAACTATAATTGGTATAAGTACTAGATAGTTCTGATGTTCAAATCCTATTCAGGATTTACCGATGATTTTCTATCTCGTTATTGTGTAATCATTTTCCATCTAGCCACTATCTATGTAACTAGTATAGTTACTAGATAGTCCTGACATTCAAAAGACTGAGTAGAAATATTTAGCCAGTCACGAGCTAGTGACTGGCTAGAAAAGTTATCTAGTCATTACTATCTAACTACTAGTCTTGAAATCTGCTCTACTAGATACATTTTTGCTCGGGTAGTAGCTCGTCGCGAAACCTGTTTTCGGGATCCCGGGTGCAACGCGCGTGCGACTTTATTCACTGGATCCGCAATAAATCTTTTCTCGCGGCCGCAATTAGCGATACCGTGAAACTATCCGCAAACTTAGGTATTTCAAGATTTATCATTCGAGATTGTTGTTCTCTCCGTCGCAGAACATGTCTTTCTCGCGGAGATCTACGTTTCTTCAAGCGCACGACGTGCGATGACTCCCGGGATGTGGATATATTTGTTACAATGAGCGAAGTAGAAGTAGTGAACGGGGACGCGACAAGTCACGCGAACATAAGAGCTCGAACAAGCGAACCACTTTGCGCCACCACGGAGAAGCGCCACAGACCTGTACAGACGGACTACTTTTGTAGTATCACAAGGAAGTGCTTCAGAATGATATACAGATAAAAGCACAAAACCTGAGCCACAAGATCAGGAGAAAACGGGAGACACAAAGTTTCAGTGTAATGTGGAATCCTTGTCTTTGTGTCTCGTGTTCTCCTTATGACACGTTTTGTGTCTCGATCTATATATCACTCTGATGCGCTTCTATGTGGCGCCACAAAGCAGCCCGTCTGTGTTGGTAAAACGCTTCTCCATGATATCACAAACATAGCCCGTCTGTTCAGCTCCGTGGCGCTTCTCTGTGTCGCCACAAAGTGGCTCGTCTGTTCGATTGGCGAGATTAGCGACGTGGAACAATCGCTGCTGTATAATCATTTTTCTCGATAATAGTCGATAATAATCGTTCTTTCCGCGTCGCGTATCCGTGGTGAATTCCTTCGCGGGGCTCGCGAACGACGGTGTCGTAACCAAGACTTCTTGGCTCAAAGCCTTTCGATCCGTGTTAACGCGATACATAAAACTTGGAGGACGTGAACCGAATCCCGCAGTGACGTTATTATTCGCCGGCGTCATTATGCAGCGTCTGCTACTCCCGCGAGGATACCGATGGTGATCGAGAAGAAGTGATAAATCAGGATTTTCGAAAAGCTCCCCCGTTCTACGACCGCAGTCGTCTGCGACTCTCTCGCGGCTCTCGGCCTGTGCAGCGTTCGCGGCCCCGAGTTTTGAGTTCGCGAGGTGCACGTTCGCCAGCACCAGCCGCGTTCTCGTATTCGCAACTTTGGAAACTTTTACCACGGGATAGACATGGCGGGCAAACGTTGAGTCGAGAATTCGCGCGTTGCATTCGCCGCACTCGCGGATTAACGACGGCATTCGCGAAGCGATAAAAGATAGGAGAGATGCATTTTATCGAACTCGAGTCGGGAGTATCACGGGTTTGGGACTGAAGCCGCGGTTGCACGCAGCCGACCCTTCCTTGTGAGTGTGGCTTTAAACTCCCCTCACGCTATCTCACCGCGGTATCACCCGGCATTTTCTCTCTCTTTCTTTTTTTACAGCATCCCCTTTAGGTGTTACTATCGAATCGGCATGCCATTTATACGCGAGTGTTACTCTTGCTGGGTAATGCCGCTCGTATTTCGATCTCTCGGTGCTGTAGCGGCGAGTTACGCGACGGCTACGCGTCGCAGAGAGCCTCGGAGTGCTTTTATTTTACGTAACGGATTTTCCGATAAAGTATCGCTTCGACGTTCACCGTTCGGCTCCGTGTAAAATGTTATCCGGCTCGTAAATGCGCCTCGTGGGACACGTCCCCGGTTTCTTACGTGGAAGTGCAATATATACATACGCATATACGATCCTATCGTCAGACGTTGAGGAACAGTCTGAATGTCGATACTGAGCACCGTAATAGCGTCTGTTCGTTGCGAGATATTAGAGAGAAAGTTAAACATGCACAAATCTTGCCTTGCGGACCCGATCCTCTCGCAATCAACGATATCGCGGAAAAGAGACACTATTCTTACTATCTAAAGTAAACCAGTATATTCTTCGGTGAAACGTTATATTTATAACTGATGCTTCAATTGTGAATACTGCGACCATGTTTCGCTGAAAGTTCGGTTAATAGTAGCGATTCTTCCTATTATTGATGCAGCTTGCAAACACAGACAGTTAAGCGAAAATCGTCACAAACGCAGAAAATTGGATTTGATACAGCATTAACGAATTTGTGCATTACGATTTGGTAAGGAAATTTTGCTTTCACCGGTCAAAATCAATGAGATATAAGATTCAGTGATCAAGTGAGAGTGGCTTTTTCACTGAAAATCAGTGAATATTCACCGATTGTCACGGTAAAGTATTCCTTCACTTGATTCAATCGGAATCAGATTTGATCATATTGATTTTATTTATACACTTTAAGAGAGTTACCTTTCTGAGGAAATCTCGGGAGGTTTCCCCCGAGGAAAATAAAAACTGATTTGAACATTAACTTCAATTGTATTTCTCACATTGTAATTTATTTTAACACTGGCATCGATAGGAGGGAAGGCACGATGTCGATGGTGAATACATCCGCTCGTTTGTCCCTCGAAAGAGACTCTTTGATCAAGTGGCTCGGCACAGTTCAATAAGTTTCAATAAGTTGTAAATGCTCTCAATTAAATCCCTCCAATTTATATTGGCGGTCGTTTTGAGCAAGTCGCTTTGCTGCAAATGCAAAACAAATTGCAAACGAATACTGCCGGTGAAAGCTGCGGAAACTACTCCCGCGCTGTTTAATATAATTTCTTTCGCTTATCGAGCAGCTGATCTCGCGGTCGCAATGATGCACGACTCGCCAGTCGTTCGCGATATTATAATTATGAGATATTATAATCACAGTTCCCTGATGCGTCTCGTCGCGCCC